TCAACTTGTATTTTTATATAAATATTCACTAAAACCGAAAATTAACCGACTACTAAAACTAGCCTACATGAATTTGATTTTTGCCTCACTTGTGACAGTTCCTTTGATATGAAACTATCATTCTATGCGTGACTATTCTAAGATAATAACAACTTTTCTTAAACACTGCATTCGTTTAAAAATTTCAAATAGTATTATCATAGAAATTTAGGAATTATAATTGCATCGCCGCCAGTGTAAGTTTTTCATATCCCTTTCGATCAGCGTAATAAATAATGTTCATTTCCAATAGTAAATTTCAGCGTAACGTATTTGATTTTGACAATGTTAAAATTCTTCCTATAATTAAAGGCAAAGAGAACTTAGGCGATACAATGAAGTATTAATAGACAAATACGAATGAATGAACGAAAATCGCATAGAACCATGGATAATCCCAACTCAACTTGAGTGTAGTTCAGCTGAGTACCGCACTGAGTACTATTCAAGAATAAACGAAATGCTTAAGACTTGAATCAATGCTCAAGCAATGCTTCATTGATTGATGATCACGGCGATACTTGAGTCCCGTTCTGGAATACGACTCTCAGGGTCGTACTCAATGTACTCCAGCACTGGAAATACGACCTTAATGGCAAGGACTTGAGTATGCAAGCACTGGAAATACGACCCTAATGGCAAGGACTTAAGTATGATTTCAAGCACTGGAAATACGACCCTAATGGCAAGGACTTAAGTATGATTTCTAATGCTTTAAATCGTACTCAAGTCCTGACTTGAGCATTGAGTAGAGTTCTGGAATACGACTGTTGACTATTTTTTTTTCCATCCTCTTAACTTCGCGACGCCACTCGTGCCTAACTTCGTGGGATGCGAGTCGCAACGCGAATAGCGAAGTGACCGAACGGTCACATGCGTGTCGTGTATCGCATCGCTATTCGCATCGCCTATCAGAGATGGAAAAAACTGCTTATTTTTTTAAATGTTTAAACGTTATGCTTTTTTTAAAAAGGCGTGCTTTTTAAACACTTTTTCACTTAAACGCTTTTTAGTTTGAAGCTAACAAAATCGTTTAAGCGCATAGACTTTTATGTTAAAAAAAGCTTGCATCGTTGTGTTGATAGCGAAACGCCACTAAGTATACCACTAAGGGTTTTAGGATAAGTTTTTTTTTGTAAAAAAATGAGTTATATTTTTATTTATAAAACATTATTATATTAACATCTTGTTCATTGGCGTTTAAAAGCGTTCAAAAACATAGGTTGTTTAACTTTTGTAGTTGTTAACCGTTGAAATGGGAAAAAAAAAAATTTGTAACGTTAAAACGTACGTTTAAAAAGCGTGCTTGTACGCTTTTTATTTGGAATTTTTATTTTTATTTAAAAAGTCGTTTAGAAAAACGTTTAAGCGCATAGACTTTAAAAAGCTTGCAACGTTATGTTGAATTAATTTGTTTAGAAAACATAGACGGCGCTACTTGAAACTTGAGCACGTAAAAAATGAAATTGTTGAGTACCTATAGAACTGACCAGTGACAAACCTTACGCTTAAAATGAAAAGCATGCTTATGCACTTATTTTAAAAAGCAGAATCGTTTAAAGGTGGGCACCTCTAAGTGGAACCATAGATGAGCGGAACGACTAGTCCATTCATTCACTCACTCATTAATTTCATTCTTCACTGCGAGTCCAGTCACAGCTGCACGTTGCACAAAAATTCATTTATTTTTATTAGAAAACTACTTCAGATATAATCAGTAAATATCGCCAAAATGAATTCTGCTTTAAATCCGGAGGCTCCAGAGTTTTACCCGCACCTGACATCAGTGACACAGGTGCGTGAATCAGCAACATTGTCAAAATAATTATAACAACAACGCCATGCGCTATTTATCTTTGCTCCATTGTCTACATATATCCTGTAACTAAGTGACTTTTTAGTTACGGTCTATATAAACTGTCCAATAAGTCTTCGTGTATAAATTAGTCTTGGTTGTACATAAATGGCTGCTGTCACTGAGCCTTTGAGTTCTGTTCGAATTGGCCATGACCAAGCGGTGATACCCACCTGTACTTACAATCTTTCGTACAAGTGTATCAATTATTATATGCAAGCCATGAAAACTTTATGAAAGTATGTGTTGACCTGCATGTAAAAGTGTAACAATTATTTAATGCCTTTATACCACACCACACCAAGATAATCACAAATATTACTCTCAACAATGGTTGCATTGATACCAATGATGCAACAGTAGTTGCAATGGCCGAGAGTCAGGGTCACTTGCTGTGAAATCAATTTATTTATTAGGTATTGCAAAACTGTAGAATTACCTAATTTATTGCAATGTACCTGCCATCTGATGTGAATATTCTTTTGATTATTTTACATTTGTTATATTTATCAACATTCTTTATTTTATTTGTTAATTTATTTCTATTCTTTATTAGTTAATGTAATGCTTCCTCTTTTTCCAATTACTCTCCTTGCCTGTATTTATTTATTCTCTTGTAATTTGTAATGTAATTAATGAAAGAAAATACAGGATGTATGATTTATCTTATGAGACTATAGTGAATTTACGAATTAATTTTGAAAGGGGATGTTGGAATGTTAATTCCAATATTTCTCTTGAAATTATATTAATTTATTGTCAATACAGAGCAGAGTTATAATTCATTATAAATATTATAGTTAAGATTACAGTGTGATTTGGTAAAAATCAAATTTGTTAAATTTTGAATTTTTTATTCCAGGATGGTTATTCCACAATAAACAAGACAATCCGATCTTCAAATCAAATGCCTTCCGGAGCTTCCTACGAGATATTTAAAACATTTACAGACTTTAATATAGTAACTTCCCACATAAGCAAAAATGTTATTTTGCAATCTAACCAAATAATTATAACAGAGTTGCCAGCTGTGAAGTTAAAATAGTAAGAACAGAAATGTATATTTTGAACATTTATACTTAGACAAAGTAGACAACAAAAATGATATACCTCACAAAGTATTAACTAATTGGTTGACATGTTACAACAAATATCCATGTAAGTTTTATGTAATAAAGATGTATCATGTAACTTTGCTTCCTTCTGTGCAGCAATGACAATGAACACAACACTGACAAAATAATAGATGCCGACGACAGCATGTTAGACCGAGTTAACATAAACATTGACCGTGTGAGCGGAGTTAATAAAGGTGATGAGAAAGTTCTAGATGGACTGAGGTCAGGCATCAATGTTTCCGCATGGAACAAGCAAAAGCCAATAATTGCTAAGTTTCAAGTAAGAACTCAATATATACTTCAGTTATTGATTAAATATTACCTGCTTTTGTGTTTACTCCCCTGTTTTATTGAATGTTTCCTACATGTAACACCTTTTCCATTTCTGGTAGTTGTTATTTTTGCTAACTTATGAACAAGTGCCGTATTTGACAGGTGGGCTCTGCAACATTCATTGGGGCCAAGAATATACTACGACCACAACTATCATTTAAAGACACCATAGACAACTCAGACAGCTTGTGGGTGCCAAAAATATCAGACAAACCAAACAATATTAAGCCTTTGACATTAAATATTCTCTACAATGCTGAAGGCGAAGCAATAGGGTAAGAAAAAACATAAGAAAATTAAAAAGATTGCACAATGAAAGCCTAATTGCATAACAGCACAGCATTTTTATGGAAGATAATGGTTGAATCATACTTTTTTACAGCCAAAAAAGTTTTTATAGTAGAATTTTCACTCTTGCCATCAATAATTATAAAATAACGTCCCAATTGTTAAAATCGGTCAGGTACATAAATGCATAGAATACTAAAATATTTTTTTCTTTTGTTTTCACTGTAGTCTGGTAACACCTAATACCAAATATTCGCCTAAGCAAGTATTTTGACAAAATATTACAGTTAGTAACTGCTATCACAACTTAACTCGGGCCAAGAGTCTTGTTTGTTAAGACAATATCATAATTCCTAAAAAGTTGTAGTATGTAGTTGCTTTTTGTATTTATAAATAACTTTAATACAATTAGCATTTGACCTAGATATGAACATCCTTACCAATTGGAATTGGACATGTATCGTCCGGCGTCCGAGTTTATCGACCCAGACCCTGCGCCGCCGGCTTACCCACTGCCTCTGGATAGCACCCAATACACTTACATCAACACTGAGGCACAATTGGACGAACTTCTCAGGCACTTGAACGGTGTCAATGAACTGGCTGTTGATCTTGAACATCATTCCTATAGGACCTATCAAGGTATGTTCATAACTGCATAATAATAGTTTATAGTGTTTATATGTTTCATACATATTTAATCCAAGATGTGCAATACTAGTTGAATTGCCTAATTTCATAGATTTTATTTGAGTGAGCTAAGCTAAGCGATATAGTTCTAAGAGTTTCTTCAAAACATTTTCTTCCTAAAAATTTATGTACTTGTAGATGCGTGTCGAACCACAAATTACGTAACATCATGTCCAAAAGTGAGGCATTTAAGTTGGCTTCACAAATGTGCAACAGTCAGGCTTTGTTTGCTGTTAAGAATGGATTTGTGTTTTTTTCATTTAGTCACCTTTAGCGCCCAGTTACACGAGAAGAAAGTTTTCGCGCGGCCACCGAGCGGCGACCGCCCAGTTACCACGCCTTCAAGTACATTAATGGCGAATCTGAATTCTATATATTATGCAACAACATTTAAATGCTTCAATAAAATTACTGTACCGGCCGCTGCGCGGTCGTCGTACGGGCCGCCGCATGGACCCAATCCAAGCCAGGCTAGACCGCGTGTCCGGAACGCTCATTTAAATTAAAACGTAAAAGCTAAACAAATAGAGTGTACTTTGCCATGACAGTTAGACGCACGCGGTGACTGCGCGGCGGCGGCCGCTCGGGGTGGGCGCGGTGACATTCGTGTCGAATAAGTGCGCCCTTAAGCTCTGCAAATGCGAAGTTTCTTGTAAGATTTAACTGCACTTGCGAACTTCAATGACATTTTGTAAAATTTGTTTTTATAAGTATTAAATATTTGATAACTATGATGGCAATTATCAATATCAAGACCATGTAAGCTATAAAACTGTAATACATGCTCCCGACTTAAGTTATTCAAAAATCTTCCAAATAGTTTTATAGCAAGACACATGACATATTAGATTAAAATAAAAACGACATAGGTTGTTGTTGCCCGTAAACTGTGATCCTATTTATATATCTAAAACTTCTCACTCACTTCTCACATTATTTGTTATACTTGGCTTTTTAGTGAGTGTAATGTGGAGTAGTTATAAGGATAGCAATTTTAATACAAATTAATGACAAATTTAAAAATACATATTTGTCATTAATTTCTAATATAATTTACATTTTACTCTTCTAAATTATAGGTATATTTTCAGGGCTAACTTGTTTAGTGCAAATATCAACCAACCAAGGGGGTGATTTCATCATAGACGCATTGGCAGTTAGAGAGCACATGCACAAACTCAATTTGGCATTCACAGATCCGAGAAAAATTAAAGTAAGTTCAACAGCCCATGATAGGAGGTACAATGACGAGCGCCATATGTATACAACAGGAAACTCGTTTTCAAACTAGTGGCCCCGGTCACAGTGCAGATTAAATGTAACATTATTGATATGTCCTTGTCATCTTAAAAACAAGGTTGCTAGATCATTGGCTCGGGCCTTTTAGGTCTTGGATTGATTGAATGATTATTACTAGATATTAAAGCAACTCAATTATTATGTGCTTTTTGAAAAAAAAAATCAATAATGACATTTGCAGTGTATAACTAACGTTAATGATGGCGTGGTCACCATGCCCTAATAACCACTCCAAGAAAGTCGACCATGTTTAGTACCACTACCGTGATTTTATAGTGTTTAAAAGCAGTTATAGAGGTCTTAAATTTTCCAAACAATTACATTATTCACGAGGTCGCCAGTGACTATGCCGTAAACTATTTGTAAACTTATATGGTAGGGGTATTATAACGTGTAATGCCCATTAAATAAAGAAACAAAATAAATGTGTATTAATGTTACACTTTTAAATTGATTAATCAGTGCCATGTACTCATCAAACCGGAATAATGGCCACTTGGTTTTTAATATTAAATTAAAATGTAGGTTTTTATATGGTTTCTAGAGTCCTTAAACAATGTGTTCAAAGTAAATAAATAGGGATCTCCAAAGAAAACTTCAAAGCATTGATTCAATTCTGTACTTTAGGGGGAAAGTTAATTCAATGATTGCCAGTGTGTTAGGGCTTGTAGTATAAGTTACAACTACTTGTCTCTTAAAACCCATTCAATACATTGAAGCTTACCTTTATTGAAATCTTAACTGCATGGGCACTGAGCGCTATTGCTTTCGTAAGGCGTATATGCGCAATGGTTGTCGTATTATTTTTCCACTCACGTTACTTTGAAGACATTACGTGTATATTATAGTGCATAACGACAGTTAAATATAGCTATTGGAAATGCTTCACGTTCTCCTTTAAAAATAACTAGTCTGTGAAAAAATTTGGTTTTTTTTCTTAATGAATACGTTTTGAGACTAGTCTCAATTCTGGCAGTGTCCGTTTCATGCTAGTTTTATAAACATCGCGGAGGGTGTATACTGAAAATTTATTCAGTGACTCAGAGGGAGTATTGAAGAGATTTTTGCACAATATGATCCCTAGATCAAAAGAGACAACACAAATTGTTACTATCATGTATGCATGTACAATTTGTACAAATGTTGTGTTAATACATGGTTCATTATGTAAAAATTTACGGAGAATATGATACATTTTTGAGTGAGAGGATAGGAACAAAAGGCATTTAAAGGAAGTACGACGAGGTAAAGAAGGAGAGAGGATGCCATACAGGGAACATCGTAATTGAGTACAATCAAAGAATATGATCCACGTTTCCTTCGTCTAACTAACACTCACACAATGAGTTATCCTTTATCCTGAGTTTAGCCAGATGAACGGGAGTACATGCGTGACTCTAACGAAAGCGGCATATTGTTGACGTAGTTTTTTTATTATCTAACTGGAATTTGAAAACCCAAGGTGTGGGAATTTGAGGCTAAATGTCCGCGTAATTTTTGCCGTTTTCTTTCTGGGATATCTCCCAATACTTCGACCAACGGTCACAAAGGAGGATTTTGGGAGTAGGCAAAGGTCATGGGAGTATAAGTTGGAGTGTTCCGTAGATTCAATGCGGGAGGCCAATTTGGCACAGGAATCTACTGTCTCATTGCCTGTGATTCCAACATGCCCATGATCCAGACACGCACCACGTTTATACCCTGATTGTGACAATCTAAAAGGACCTGTTTAAAAATAAAAACTGGGTACCGGAAGGAAAAGTGAGTATAAAATTGTTAAATCGTAACTTTCAAGACATCAGGTGGTTAAAGTGTAAATACAAAAAGTACTCCGGAATTAATAACCTATGGCGTTCCTCAGGGTTCCATTCTTGGTCCCTTACTTTTCTTAATTTACGCTAATAACATGAAAGACCTAAAATTAGCTACAGATACTACACTATAAGTGCAGACAACGCTCGTCTTTTTTATTATGGAATCTATTTCTAGGAAATCTATTGCTAAACAAGCTTTCTAACAAGCTTGCCAAAAATTGCTTCAATATAACCTGCTCACCATCAATGTACGAAAAACGAACTCTTACAGCTAAATATAAAAAGGTTTTAAATGTACCACCTTTACACGTATGTAATTAACTGTTAACTAAAGTTAAATCTGAAAAGTATATTGATCTTAATCTTGACAGTCACTTAACCTGGAAACCTCTCTTGGATAATATACGTGTAAAACTAACTTCACTGATGGGTATTCTAAAGGGCATCGTGCGATGCTTTTCTAAAAAGGTAAGATGTATCATATATAATTGTCTCATGAAAACATTATAAAACCGCTACAAATTACTCAAAACAAAAATTAAATTATTTTTCTACTTTAATTTCCTGATGCCTACGGAAACTGTCTTTCACAGAACCAAATTAACGACACTTGCACATATGTATAATTACCACTGCCTATAGGCATACAAACCAAGAACCAACGACAGTACTACGAATATTCGGTACGAAGGTGCCAAACTGTATAACAATCTTCCTAAGCGTATAAAAGAAATACAATCATTCCCTTTATTCAAAAACATGCTAAAATTCCACATTATAAAGTATAATTCACTACCTACACTATAGGCAAAGTAATCTCTTTCAATCGTAACTCTGATAGCAATTGTGTATCCATACGCAATGTGAACTGTCCACATGATCCCCTTGTTATAAAATATTTCAGATCACCTACATTAAAAAACATCTTATTATTGATATACGTCTCATAGGTATTTCAAAACATAAATTTTAAGTCTAAGCAACAGCATTGTGTAAATGTGAATTAGTTCTTATATATATATATATATATATATATAATGTAAATGTTCTCGCTAGTTCGGTATTGTAAGCTTATTTATTTATAATTTTTCTCATTGTAAATGTAGTAGGTGAGTGGAAACGATTTGACAAGATGGATTGAAGGCAACTTTTGGAATCATTAACGATGATGGAATTACTATAGTGCGCGCGGAACTAGCTGGCCGCGCCTTAGGTATGTGAGCGGTGGGACGGGGAGGCGGGGGCACTTGATGTCATTACTCAGAATACTCAGTTCGGCGCCGGACTTCGCGGCGGCAACACACGTTGACAGTTCTGGCTAGTCTAGACAAAACGCACAAGAGATTGCAATGTCAAGATGAGTCCGCCGATAAAAAGACAATCTAAGGAAATAATATTTAAAGTGCATACGTTTTTTAAAAAACGGAAAGCCGATGTCAATAGTTTAGAATATAAATCTGATGCGAATATTCATAAATTAGTGGCAGAAGCAACCGGGATATCAGAACGAAGTGTAAGGAGAGTGATTGCTCAAAGTAAAACATCCTTGCAAAATACAGGGTAAGCAAAATTTAGTTCTCCACGAAGGCCAAAAGAGATAAAAAAGAAAATACAAGTTGATGATTTTGATTTAGGAGTGATAAGAAGAAAAATAAATCAGTTTTATACGGTACAGAAAACAAATCCAAGTCTACGAAAACTAAATGCTGTGTTAAAAGAGGATAATATTTTAGATTGCGGATTAACTTATTTAAGAGAACTTTTGCACAAACTGGGATATTCATTTAAAAAATGTAAATCGAAGAGATCCCTTTTATTAGAGAGACCAAACATTGTCGAATGGCGAGTGAAATATTTGAGGGCCATAAGAAAATTCAGAGAAGACAAACGAAATATATTCTTTTTGGACGAAACTTACGTTAACCAAAGTCATAATGTCCAAAAATGTTGGCAATCTTCGTCGGAGGCTGGTGTTTATGCAGATATAGGCAAAGGAAGGCGTTTAATAATAGTTCACGCTGGTAGTCGGAACGGGTTAGTTGACGATGCTCTGCTAATTTTTAAATCAGATTCAAAAACAGGAGACTATCATGGAGACATGAACTCTACAAATTTTTACAACTGGGTTGATCGAAAGTTAATACCTAAACTTCCACCTAACTCAGTCATAGTTATGGACAATGCAGCTTACCACTGTGTGCAAGTTGAGAAGAAACCGACTATGTCCTGTATGAAAATTAATATGCAGAATTGGTTGCAAAATCATAACGTGCCCTTTTCTCCCACGATGGTCAAAGCTGAACTCTTGGGCTTGATTAATACGACCCAATCAGAAAAAATATACACGATTGATGAACTTCTGAAAGGTGCAGGTCATACTGTTCTAAGACTACCTCCATATCATCCAGATCTCAACCCAATCGAGCTTGTGTGGGCAAATATAAAAAATTTCCTGGCCAGAGATCACATTAATGCTACATTGGACGAGAAAATTACAATACTAACAAGACTATTTTCTGAATTTTCTGCCGAACAATGGCAAAAATGCGACGACCACGTACAAAAAAACGAACAAGAATACTGGAATCATGATATGAGATATGATACTGTGATGGACGAATTCATTATAAACTTACAAGATGATTCTGACTCAAGTTCAGACAATTCAGAATCAAGTGATTCAGAGGATAATATGTCAGAGTAATTTCATATCTATAAATACAAAGTCGTGTTAGTTACACTAATTAATTAATAATAATTTCATAAATGATTCAAATATGTCGGAAGAATTTAATTTAATTTGTTTTTGGTTTATTTTACTTTTAATTTTTTTTAACTGCCTCCGTGGCCGAACGGTTACCATGCCGGACTGCCACGCAGAGGTCCCAGGTTCGATTCCCGGGCCGAGAGAAATGTTTGTATGGCGTACATTTATTTCTCTCGTGAGTTTGGGTGTAATTTGTGGCTGTCTATGTGTGTATCCATGGCACCTGCAACACAGGGTTTCCCTAGTGCGGGGCTATGTGGAGTGTGTGCGTTATTTAAAAAAAAAAAAAAAAAAAAAATTGCAATGTACGGACAACAGCAAGTCCATCAATACATAAATGTCAAATTTATCCAATCAATTTTATACTCTATTCCCTGGACTTTAAGTTGAAAATCAATTGAGGAAATCTGACAGTTTGTGGCGGCCTGATGTGCTGCCGACTGTACATTGCAATTAATTAGATAGGTATAATATAAACTTGTAAAAGTTCAATTGGCTTTAATTTTTTCTTTTCAATAACTGAACAATTATTGTTCACGATATCTCGAGATTGGTCGTCACTGTCTAATCTCATGTGCGTTGCGAGCAGCAAGCAACCCGCCCCCTCACCCCTGTCCCTACCTAAGGCGCGGCCAGCTAGTTCCGCGCGCACTATAAGCTTATGAGACTTGACATAGAAAACTGCTTCCAGAAAGGCGATTGCTTCTCCAGTAAATACGAAAGAGTAGGATGAGCATTTGAAGCTTAAACATATCTTTGCAGATGAGATCCATACTGCTGCTCCTATATAGAATCTGTAAATAACCTGCGCCATCCGGAATCTCGAAAGCCATCCTTTGGCTAAAATTCCCTCAAGAGTCAACAGAGTTCTTCTCTATGTCAAAGTGAAGAAGAATATTGGCTGGAAAACGAGAGCTTCATAGGAGAGCTTCATAAGTACAATAGAGGGGGTTCCGAGAAAGCTGCTTGAGTGAGGAAGCGAGTCGGGAGGATTTAATGAAGCTCTGAAGCAGGCAGGGTTTAGTGTCCATATTCCGAGAATCGAATTGATCTAAGAGAAGATTTAGGAAAAATAGGGTGGTTTGAATTTTGAAGCAGTTACAAAGAAATCTATCGGAAAGCAGCTGTCTGCGAATATTCAGGAGGAGGTTCCCCGCTCTCAACCTGCATATCACAAATGGGCGAGGACTTCATAGCTCCTAGAATAATTCGCAGAGATTTGGATTGCATTTTTGCTATGTTACCTTGTCCAGATTTGTTAGTAAGGAGAAAAGATCCATAATCATAATAATAGCAGAATGTTAATATTTTTCTCACATTTAAGTGCTACATGTTCGAAATGAGGGATAGCCGTCATTCTAGAGTCTAACTGAAAACTTGTTAAAAACCTTTCTGGAGCAGTTACTGAGTGAGCAGAATCTATGCTGACATTGAAAATAATTTTAATAAATAATAAAAATAATTCTAAGATCAGGGTGACCTTATTCCTTTTTGATCAATACACACTTGAGTATTCATAGAAAGCGGTGAAATTTGCTGTTCGTATTTGTAAGATCAGGGTGGCCTTATTCCGTTTTGATAAGTACACACGTTGAAATCTGTGAAGTTTTTTGTTCTGAATTCTTAAATCAGGGTAGCTCTATTCCTTTTCGATTAATATACATGTACAAACCGGCGAAAGTTGTTCGTAATTTAGATATCTTAACTTTGTTCGATTCTTAGATAAATTTAATTTTAGGTGTTCCACGGTGCCGAATCGGACGTGTTATGGCTGCAAAGAGACTTCGGTGTCTATATAGTAGGTTTGTTTGACACTCATCAAGCTGCTAAAGCACTCAAGGCGAATGGGCTTTCCCTCAAGTATTTACTAATGAAATACTGTGGTGTAAACGCCGACAAAAAGTAAGTTACGTAACAAGTATCCATAACAAGACAAATGTTACTTGTTCGCAATGAGTTATAATAAGTATTATTATTATAATATAAAAGTATTATCATAATAATGGCTTGATAGAAAACTTTCTGGGTTCGCGGTTTAGAAACCAATTATAAACTTAATAACGTAATCATTTGCTTAGATACCAGCTAGCGGATTGGCGTATACGGCCTTTGCCGGAGGAATTAGTCGAGTACGCCCGACTGGACACACATTACTTGTTATACATCTGGCGTGAGATGAAAAGCGAATTACTGGCGGCTGGTGCCGGACAGCCGCAGTTACTGCTGTCTGTCTTCGAACAAAGCAGACAAATCTGTTTATCGGTGAGTTTAACCTAGAGATTTAAACGAAAATTATACCTATTAAACATCGCTTAAAAACAAACTTGCTCTATAACTGTAAAACTGGCGAAAATTTAAAATTTTGGATTTGCTGTAGTCGAAAAAATGTGGTTGTCGAAAATTTGAGGTCGCTTTTATTTATTTTTAAAGAATCCATACATACTTTTCGATGCTGTACTCAAATTATGTTGTCTAGGAAAATAAATAGAAGCTGTCTTTTTACAGATGTACAATAAAGAGGTGTTGAATGATAATAGTCACATGAAACTGTACATTAAGTCGAAGAAATCGTTCAATACACAACAAATGTTGGCGCTCAAAATGCTCTACAAGTGGAGGGACGCGCAGGCGCGTGCTCTGGATGAGAGTACCTCGTAAGCATTTTATGTAATATATATTCACAGGGAGCCATGCGTCGTATACAAACAATTGCAATTATCTATAGATAACCTTGCTGCACTGCCTGGTAGGAAAACTTTTGCAAACTTAATCATAATTTAATCGATACTTTGCTTTGTGAATGTATAAAACGTTCTTCTTGCTGTGTTAGGTTTAGTGCACCATATAAGACAATAGATTTTTATAGTCATATAATCCATGTAACGAATAATGGAAACCAAGAAAAAGAAACACTAGGCTAAGTCTCAATAATAAAAAGAACCGTAAGTGTTAGTATCTGCACTCCATTGTATTCAGATTAGGCACATGGTTCATACATTTTACCAAAAAAACAAGTTAGGGACTGAAACTCGTTTGACGTCATAGTACTGATTGTCAATTTTCAATGTATAGTTACGTGATGTAATTCATATAAATGTGGCTATCAGCGCAAAAGTGGTGTAACCCACATTAATTAACACACAGGTACATAATTATAATAATAAGTATTATTAATATTCATAATAATATTAATAAGAGCTTATAATATGTGTGTAGATAAAGCAGAGTATGTAACTGTACATAATTACATAATTAGGCATTAAAACACTCTTGTGATGTTTTCACTCTTTAACCCACACTCGTGTTTTAATGCCTTTCATTATGTAACAGTCACATAAACCCTATTTAAGTCGTTTCCTATTATTAGGTTACTTTTTAAAATTTACATCGTCGTCGTTGTATAGGTGCGAATTATTTGAATGTCGAATGCATTGACTTACAATTATATGGACGTCGGGTCCGCGCTAAAAAGTGTCCGAACTTATGGGGCGTTAAAATCGTATACAGAGCGTCATTCACGCTTCAGTCTTCGTTTGTTTCTGCTGACAGCGAAGCAAGCAAAATTAGACAGTACTGCGATGTCATTACAATTTAAATTCAACGTTTTAGCTTTTTCATATTCCTTTACATGTCACTACGTTTAAATAGGTTGACTTGGGACATTTTTTTCGTGGCTATTAGACCCGTCCATTTATTTGTAAGTCAATGGTCGAATGGTATATTTTTTAAACATAGGACCCTAGTTATTTATAAAAATAAATTGGCGGGAAATAATTACTTATTATTTATTTTTATTGGACATTTATATTTGTCGGGCGTAGTAAAAATGGAATTAACTCGAGAAGATTTTAGAGTAATGATTTAGTATGATTCTAAGAGTGCTACTTCTTCTCAAGATTGTGCCGCTCGACTTCAAAATCTTACTGTGAGGCAGAATTTGAGCGTGGACGGATATCTCTGAATGATGTGACTCGTGAAGGCTTCAACAAGCGACTGACGGACAAAATGTTGCCACTGTGAAACAGCTTATTCACGAAAACGGACACCTATGAAATCAATCACCTATTGAAACGATTCGAGGCAATCTGGGGATCGGTATGAGACAGATCCAAAAAAATGTACACGAAGTATTAAAAGTTAGAGAACTTTTCTATGGCAGGATTCCCCACGAACTGACGCCAGAAGAAAAACGGCCTCGTGTAAAATGGGGCTCAAAGATGTTGCTTAAGTACGATCTCGGTAATTCGAATGCTGTTTGTGATATTGTCACGGGAGACGAAACATGGATTTATTCTTCTTAACCAGAAAAAAAAAATAGCAATCTTGTGAATGTGTTCGAAAGCGAGAACAGACCGACAAAATTGAAGCAGGCGAAGAGCGTGGATAAAAAAATTATTGCGTTTTTTTTTCTCGCACGGGTCCCATTTGCACAATCCCACTTGAGGTTCAAACATAGTTCAAAGGTGTGTTCATACTGAGTGGTACTCCACCATTTCTGTACCCACTGTCCTAGAAAAAGTCCGTGAAAGGCGACCGAAAAGCCGCATCCTCTTGCACCACGACAACGCTTCTTCGCACACAGCCAAGAAAACAAAATCATTTTTACTCTCCGAAAAAGTACAGCTCGTGACTAGAGATCAGTCATTGGTATAAATACTCAGTAGAAAGATAAATATGGATGAATATCCCTGTATTTTTGTGTGAACCTTATTATTATTTAAATGTATAGTTTGTTAAAAAAAATTGTCTCCACACATTATTAATCAGCTGTCTAACATTTTGTATGGAATTTTTTTTTCAAGTTACTAAGTTGGTCCGATTTTGTACATTTGTTCAGCTTCGTATATAGAATAAGGGCGCTTCAAGATTGGATTAGGCTGCAATTCCAACAGATATGTGCGAGGTAGCAAGACGTGCGTGTGACTGCCTCTTAGAGCCCGCGAGAGCCAGGAGTGGCCGCGAGTGGCTTTGAGTGACCGCGAGAGCCAGGAGTGCCTTTAAGTGTCCGCGAGAGCCAGGAGTGCCTTTGAGTGCCCGCGAGTGTCTTTGAGTGCCTCGAGTGTCTTTGAGTGATATTGGTGGAGTAGCAGCTTAACAATCTGAACAGATTGTTACATTACAGGCGAACGCTCCCGGTGAACGAGGCTACCGAATGTTACACAGCGAATGCTCGGCTCACCTCCCTCACCGCCTGTAATGCTCGCTTTTCAACGTTTCATTACAAGAGCACGTTCGCGCAGTTAGTGAGACGATATCGACTCGAAAAACGTAGGTACTAAAACAGTATTGTTACATATAACTATGTCAAAATGAGAAGTAATCGTAAGTAATTATTTAATAAAAAATGAATTCTAATGTATTTTATTATAAAAAACACAAAAAAATAATTGTCCATGTTTTAAGATAAGTACTCAGTAAAAACGGATATTTTTCCTTTGACGGATAATTACCCATCTCTACTCGTGACCCATGCTGCACGTATTCCGGAACTTGCACCCTGTGATTTTTTATTTTCCCTAAAATCAACGATTTGATCATACCTTCAGATTTATGGTCCTCGTGTTTTGAAAAATGGTTCGACCGAATGAAAAAACGTTTAAAGTGTTAAGGCCTACTTTGGAATGTACTTTGAAAATCAATAAATGCATTATTTTGTTTAAGACTTCTTTATTCATAAGTTACGCAATACTTTCAGTGCACCCTACGTATAAGGTATAAAATGGATTTTGTTAATTTTAAATCCCTCGTTTTCTTCTTTCTTAACTGCCTCTGTGGCCGAACGGTTACCATGCCGGACTGTCACGCAGTGATCCTGGGTTCGATTCCCGGGCCGAGAGAAATATTTGTTTGGCCTACATTTATTTCTCTCGTGAGTTGGGGTGTAATTTGTCGTTGTCCATGGCACTCGCGACACAGGGTTTCCCTAGTGCGGTGTTATGAGTGTGTGCGCGTTACTTTTTGCACATTACGGGGCTACACCACTTTTGCGTTGATAACCTAACATATCGTCGTATAAAATAGTTATAATACTGTATTTTACATTCAACCGCAGTCTATTGGCATGACTCCTAAAGTATAAAGGAAAACAATTGAGATGATTCAAAGGATTAACACACGTTGTCTGTACCAGTGTGACAAAACAAGGTTTTTTTTATGTTAATGCCTCAATTAGAAACAGAATGCTTTGAACATTTGAATGGTTTGGAAATAATTTCATGCCTTGTAACGCTTTGTGAGTAAAATGGTGTTGACCTATCAATACCACAATTCTTTAAAAACTGCTTTCTTTTGTGAAGGTTAGCCACAATGGCGGGCATTATTAGCAGACTCATTTGTAGCGACGGCCTTGGCAGTTCAGAGCTTCATCACTAACTTGACTAACATAAGGGCATATTTTCAATCTATTGATTCTCGTCTTGTTGTTAAGCAGTAGTCTCTTCGAACAGAACAAATACACTACACTGGTTTAACGCGGTTTGAACACTTCGCGTGTCGTCAAAGAGCCTTGGCATGTTCCTGTTATTTTTTGCCGTTGTAGTTCTGGCAATTAGTAAAGCTACCACAGCTGTCCAGAAAGCCGCGATCAAACTTAAATAAGCATAACGGTTATGCTGTGGTATAAATATTTGTTATTTATTCATAGACATACAGAAAGAATTAAATGTCACACAGATGAACAAAGAATAAGGACATTTAAACGTATATCATCACTAAAATCTTACAAAACCGACCGAGTGTTTTTTATTATAAACCAAGAAGGTTTAACAAACAGACGTACCGACTCGTGCCGTGGATAAAACTCGTGACTATAATAGTGTCGTATTATGCAGGTACCTATTGCCCAACCACATGCTGCTGTCACTGGCGGAAACACTCCCGCGCGAGGTACAGGGTGTGAACAGCTGCTGCTGTCCCATGCCGCCCTTCGTCAAACAGAACCTCATGACTATCCACAGGATGTTACTTTCGGTGAGTTACGCTCATGTATTATATCCCGATCTTCCGTTGAGGTAGGCAAAAATTAACTTGCATATCTTGACGTACCTCTTTCGATTTCTCCACCGGGATACTTTTCACTTGATTTTTTTAAAGACATTGTAATTCCAGCTAAAGTATGCGCACCGCGATGCATCTTTCTCCACGAAGCTGTTCGCTTCGGAAACCACTGAAAAAAGTCTGAATGATCGAAGATATAGTCCCCATATTAACCAACTAGAGACTATAGTCGGGCTAAGCTAAGCCTGCAGAGGTCTGCAGTTTTTATTATATTGATAGATTTAACGACATCTAAGAAGATAACTTCATTAATTGAGTCCTTAATTTATTAAACGTGTAAATCGGAATTAAGCTTAAGCTTAACTTATGTCAATAGTACAAATTTAGTAATAAAAAAACGACAGCTAAAAACGAAGTTTAGCACGGTCCGACTATTCCTGTTTAAGCTGATTACTTTTGGGGTGAATTAAAATTTGAGACTAATGACGATATTACGGCTGCTGTAGAGTACTTGCCGAGCCTTGAGTAAAATGATGAACGGCATAACTTCTTTGGAACGTGGAGAAACTTAGATCACAATGCATAGGTATTAAATAAAAAATACAATAAATTTTGTCGTATTAGTCATATGAATATTTCCGTCTTAGGCTAAGTACTCTCCCTCGTAATTTGTAAACGTGTATACCACAGTAATGTGTATACCATTTCTACAATTAAAATGACGTACAACGCTCTACTTTATAGTACTGAGTAATATAGGTATAATTGTGTAATGTCGAGCATAGCAATTATAACAAGTTCTGCTTTTTATACCAAACTGTGTATACAATTTTTGGTGCAGTGTCGCGAGCTACCGCTGGAGCCGCAGCTATTCCAGATGCCAAGTAGCATCAGGACTATGGTCAACATGCATCAGACTTTGAACTTGTACGCCATGAACACTCACGACGTTTCACACCTCCCTGAATTTAGGTGAGTTGATATTGAGTTAAGGTGCAATGGTATGTAGGTACGTAGGACTGCTTAACACGGAAACTAAATATTGTAAGGCCCTCAAATACAACGGTTCACAATCGCAAAAAACGCTTCCGCTGTCGAGTTTACAGTGAATACCAGTTTTGTCGTTATGCGCAGGCTACGTCGCGAACGAAGCAATGCTTACTTAGCTTAGTTCAGGTTGCCGGGGCATCTTTTCATACTTCGGTTCACATCGCGAATTTTTTTTTTCGTGGGGATATCCTCCTTTGATACCGGACTTCTACCGGCTAAAACCCCACGGTGGTCTTCTCGGGTGCTCTAGTGGAGGGCATCCGGTAGCGACTTTACGCACCGGAACCCTCCCCGGCACCTGAGAGGAGCTACGTCCTTCTCGCGGTTGCCAAACTTACTGGCGAACGGAGCCACCGCTCCGATCGCCTACAGCCGCGAAGGTACGCCGCTGCCGAGCGAGATCGACCCTCTTCCTTTCACGCTCGGTGACCTCCTTCTGCAACATCACCGCTTCACAGAAGGAGACCACTGCCTCATGGGACTTTTGAACCGCCAGCATAGCCGCTACTGTGTCTGGCGGAGAGAGATCTCGCCCTTTCCGGGCAACTAGGGTGTTCCGCTCGGAGGCCTACGGGGGGCACTCCTCTAGGGTGTGCTGGGCGGAATCCTGGTCCCTCCCACAGTGTCACACCGCGAACTAAGCTAACTAGACTAACCCAACGATCCCGTTAGCTATGTAAATTATGTCGCCTTAACTGCAGCCGTTCACCCCCGCAAGTACCTATCTATAATCACTACTTACTACGTATTTTCTTAGCTTAGCTTTGCAACAACTACGTGAGCTACAGGCCCTCAACAGACGCGCTAGCTGCTCACCAGACAGACGCCCCGGAAACCTGCAAAACCGGGGCAGACAAACATGTTCGTCTCTGTAGCTAACCACAAACGCCAGCGAGTCCATATCCAAGTCCACTGTATCCTGGGGGTCTACTCTCGATCTCCGTCCGACATCCGACCGAAACAATTACTGCCAAATAAGCAATACTTGACCAAATGAAAAGACGCGTGATCCGAATGAAGCTTCATACTTGATACTTGTCTTTTAATTTTGTCGAATATTACTTATTTGACAGTAATTGTTTCGGACGGATGTCGGACGGAGATCGAGAGTAGACCCCCTGGTCTTGCCGTCGAGCCCGTAGTCTCTCCGGAAAACCCTATCTCTCGGGTCGGTAGATAGGGACACCGGGACAGTTCCTTCAGTTGTACCAAGTACAAATCCGGTCATGTATGGAGTACGCTGCCACCTTTGGGATGGTTCTGCCAAATACCAACTGGTCACCATGGATTCACTTGAAATGCGTGTCAAGGGGCTTATAGGTGACTCCGGATCAATAGAGGTGAAGCTGCAGAGCCTTGAACACCACCATAAAGTTGCTTATTGGTATTCTGCAGGATATATCACGGAGAATGTACAAAGGAATTGCACGATTTAATTACGTTTTCCCCTTCCCATCATCAGATGAACGCAGGCTGGATATTCCAAGGATTCGCACGAAGCGTTTCGCTTCCACATTTATATGGCGAACGGCTATAGAGTGGAATTCCTTGCCTGCAGATTTGTTCCCTGAACGGTATAACTTGGACCTTTTCAAGATGAGAGTGAATAGGCATCATTTAGGTGTGCATGCTCCATCGTTGACATCATTGTCACTATCCATTAGTTGTGATTTTAGGTGTGAAACATTTTACAAAAATAGATCCTTAATGTGTAAACTTCTTAACTATTTGAAGATGTTCCCCGTCATGGAAATTTTACTACCAAGAACGAAAGCCAAAACCTATAGTGCCACATGCGGCCCGTGGGGCAGTTACACATAAGACATATGGCTCGCTGCACATCCAGTACAATAATGCGTTCAGGGCGCTGTTCCGGCTTCCACCATACTATAGCGCGTCAACCATGTTTGCTGAGAAACATGTTGACGATTTATACTCTATAATGTCGCATGCGTCTCAGTACGAACGGCATCCTGAGCACTCTGGGAGTCCCCAATGCTGGGGCGGTGGATGCGCTTCTTCACTGCTGCCAATGCCTATCCACTTGACTTGTCATTGACCGGGTACGTTGTGCTCCCATCGCTAAACCTATGATTAAGTTAGTTTTATGATTATTTTGAACCTTACACTAGCTTAAGTACTTAATGAAATAAATGGTCTATTATTATCTTTGCTCATGTTTGTCAATGTCCATTTGTAAATTCCAAAGTTACTGAGTTTGAGTACATAAATTTAAGGTGCAGTTTCTGTTCTTACGCCTAAGACTTCAGAGTGTTATTCCGTGCCCAAGTGCTTGGAACTGTGTTGAATAGGAAATTATTAAGCGAAAAACTTTCGAAATGTGTGGAAATTCTAAAATAAAGCTTAACTTAATAGATTAATTTGTCAACTCCCTTCTTATTATTGTTATAAATAAAGACAGTGTAAATAATATTTATATATATTATATCGTCTTTACATACGACAAAAACATGGAAGCACAATTTATTTTTTATTTTTTTGCTTCTGAATCAATGGCATACTGTTCAGTCAATCTAAGTCTGCCTAAGATAGAATCATACGCAAAAGAAGAAAGGAACGTCGATAACAATGATTTAGGTTTATTTTTTATTGTTTGCTATATTTTTTTTTTTATTGCCAATCTGAATTACTTCTGTACCGCGTCCATTCTTTTTCACTTTACTGATCGAATTTCAGTGATGTAAAAGGAAAAAGTCTAGAAAAAATTACATTTCAAACACCTTTTTTACAGAGAGGAAGACAGCAGCAAGTTCGAGTTTGCATCAATGTTCGCGGATGAAGTAACCCAACTGCCTAAACAAATACATGCATTTGCGCACACTTACAACGGAGCTTACTATGGCATTGTGAGTACATGAATAAAGTGTTTGTTTCTCAAAATCTATGATTTATTAACCTCGAGTACTTATGAAGTTATCCTTAATAACTACCTAAATAAAGTCGCTAATTAAGTTTTTCTACCCTAATGTTAACAGGTCTAGTTTTATTACGTTTAAAATTAGGAGTGTGACATTGTGTATAGATTTTGCCAGTCTACCATTTTAAAGTTGGGATATTATTCTGGCGTCGCCATTTTTCAATCTCGACAACTACGCAACAAATATATAAGAGCATTTGTCTGTAATCTTTTTTTTTTCAGTTATTGCTCTACCTCAAGAATAGTACAAAAAAAACCAAGTATTGTAAATTACTTTATTTGCCCACGAAGAGAAAGCTTTGACTACCTACCTTCCGGTTGTTTCATGCTCTGAGTAGCACAATAGTCAATCGATAGAGATCAGAGATGTTTTTACTCGCGCAAGTTTTGTCTACGTCCTCTCTCATATATACAGGTGTGATCTGTTACGTCACAGAACTAAAATTGGACCAATATTAGAATATTGTGACTAGAATCGAATGAATCACGAGTTTTTCTTGGCGTCGTTATATCTAAGGAAGGTTTTGTGGTTCTCTAGATTGAAGAATGTTGAGGTCAGGATAAGGTTAGCCTAGCGTGGACAGTTAAACACCCTTGACTTTTAAAACGGTTGACCAACTCAATTTACTTCTCTGCATATACACCTCACTAAATCTGCATCTAAATAAATTAAATTACGACTTGATCTTTGCAAATTTAAAACGCTAAATGCTGGTGACATACGAGTTGTTTTCGAACACGCATTATTAGAAGCTTAAATTACAAGTAAATCCCGTAGATCAATAAATATGATTTATAGAGATAAACCACACTTAAAGCTAGACAGCTTACATATGTATTTGCGTTTTTAATAGTGTTCAGTTTTTATCATTTTCAAACATCTATCGTAATTATTAAGTGCAATAGAAAAACTGTATAGCAGTCCAATTGCAATCTAAAATAATAATATTAAATTATTATTCCAGGTGTCCGAATTAAACGCAGAAGCAAAACATTTCGTTCCACCTTACGACAGATATAGGAAATACCGTACGCTTGCTCAGGTATTTATGATCAAATACTGCAACATGATATTTAAGAAATGTATAACTTTTAAGAATTAATTCACGTAATATTTACAGTTGGAAGAAATTAAAGATTTTAAAGAAAAAGAAGCGAAAATAGCAGCCATAGGAAAAGGCGACGATTTGATTAAAACAGAAGTCCTGTTAAAAGTTCAGCATGCCAAAACACAAGTCGAAAACGAAGAAAAAAGTGTAGTAGAAAGTGAAGAAATAGAAACAAGGGAATTAGTAAAGAAATCTGAAAAACGTAAACGAAAGATATCTGATAAAATTGACCGAAAGGATACCTTAATGCCAGTAACTAATAAAGTGGACTCTAATCCTAAAAACATTTCAGAAACTAACAAGAACTTAAAACCATTTGTTTACAAGAATGTAGACTACAAAAAGTTTTATGATGACACTGAGAAAACTCGTAATCATAAACAACTTAAGACGAAATATAAAAAATGTAGGAAATAGCTGATATTTTGTAAGTGAAATTATACGATAATATACGTATACTTACTTCTTACAATACGATGTTGTTTTATTTTCATACAAACTAATGAAAGGCTAGGAATTAATTGAAACGCGTATTATTTCAAATTTCCTTTTTTTCATATTCATGCATTTGTTACCAACATATTAACAAGTAATGCTATAGTAAGATTATGTACTCGCTGCTGACTCGGCCATAAATTATCGGAGCGGGACAATAGTATTGAGCTTATCTCCCACTTACGAGCAGGTACTGGCCTTTTGTTTAATCGCAGGGCCGTGCATTACTGCAGTCGGTAAATGCTATCGATATAGATATAGATGATGTTCCATTTTGTTGTAATAATGAAAGTAGGAACGGAATTAAAAAAATATTTATAGAGCACATTATTGAGAACAATGCGTGTTTAAGCCGTAAGATCCGACATGTGAAATGTGATTTTTATAAAAACTATCCTTTGTGACAGGATCAGCAATTAAAAAAGGTTGCGACATTTCAACAGTATAGCAGGTAAGAAGTTACTCAAAAGGTACCGCACCGATTTGTTTTCATCGATAATGGACATACGCACGCGTTATTTGCATACGTCACTAAGCAGGTGAGAGAGAAACCACAATATCGATATCTCTCTCGAATGATTTAAGACTAAGCGAATAAAATAGCCTACTATAATATCAACTTTACCCTATCTTCATGAGTTGCTTAATCAATATTCTAGTATGATATCTTCAGAGGTTTTGTTCCTTCGATTTTTTGTTAAAACTCATGAATGTGAAGGAGATTTTATCAGTACACATGGTTTGAGACATAAAAAAATTATACAACAAACAACCTTAACTCTTATAAAAATAAGCATTTTAAAAGTCACATGCTTTCCCGCGTGCGGAACTTCACAGTTGAAGTTGAAGTTGACTTCACAAATGTAATAAATATCGTATCCTCCGCATATGAAACAAAATATATGTGAATGAAAATTCTACTATCCTATCGACACATTTTATATTAATTATACACCACATTTTATGTTCATTCGGATGTGTCGTCCGAAACATCTTCCCTTATTTTAATTCTATTTTTGACTGATCTTTTATAACCAGAGTCATTGCGTTCTTTCACCAAGCCTTTGCCCTCAACAACCTTGCTCCTATTTCTCGTGTGGAATTTCTTTACAACAGGCTTTTGTAAAGATTCGTCTAGGACGGGTTCTCTTTTCTTGGTCTTGCGGACGCGTATGTGAGGTGCTGGGGCTAGAGACTCCGTCGTGGTTGCATCGTCTACTATAACGTCTCGCTTGAGAGCACTTTTAAAGGTCTGTCCTCGTGTTGGCTCGTGTAGCGAAAACGTAATCCTGTCATGATGTATCTGTTGGAAGCATAGATTTAGTATGATAGAAGGCAGATTTCTAGACATTGATATGTTAAGTAGCAGTAAAGTCCTTATGAAAGAGTTCGTCCAGGGAAGTACTGCCACCTTACCTATTTCTGCGCCAAGCATGTAATGTAAGCATTACTGTGTTTCGGTTTTGAAGGTAAATGATCCTGGTGAAAAATGCAGGCACATGGGACTTGTCAACTTGTCTCAGGGCGTCGGGCGCAGTGGCAGTGCCCCTCAGATCTTTGCGATTCAAAGCCGAGTGGCACTGTAACTGTTATGGACAGGCTTGTAGCTTACCATCAGGCGCACGACTTGTTCGTCCCGTCACTTGATATTATAGAAAAAAAAAATTAAACGAAGATTTTTATATTGACCATGTCGTAAGCGATTTAAGGTTCATTAAAATTACGTGCTCTCTTTCAATTTTCTCCGTGTGATATATATATATATATCTTCAATACTACTTACTCTATATTCAATAGTGATGTAACATTCTTCCTCGTCCTCACAGATAAGCGAATTAACATCGGCTGGCTTGGCCACGTTAGCAGGGCGCCGACTCACTCGAAAGAAACGCCACAAAGACCGTATCCGAGGCCCACATGAATGCACTATGTCGCTTACCTGCAAGTGCATAATCAATGGCAATGCTGAAACATTCAATTTATGCGGTTGATTGAAAAAAACTACAACTAAATTGTAGTCTCCACATGAAATGCTTTTGCCAAAATAAAAATATCAAACTTGACCTTCATCTGTTCAGCACCGTCGCATATCCCGCCACTGTTGTGTGGTTCCACGCCGAAACTATTAATACAGGCGCGATCTTCCGGAAGCAGCGAATCGATTTGGAAGGCACATTTTGGAAGCGAATCAGTCCTTTCCTGAGACGTAATAAATGTAATCATTGTAATTTCATGTAATATTAATATTTAAATAAAATATGGTAAATTTCCTTACCCAGCCGACTTCGTCGCAATGTTTCGGCTCATCGTAACATATGTAGTAGTTGATGGCATTAGAACCATCAGTTCTTTTCTCAGTAGACCAAGTATACCAGTTCTCCCCAAATTTGAACATGCTATTTATATGATTCTGACGGTAGATCAATGGAAATATCATCTCATTTGGATGCATCTGGTGCTGCGACTGCTTTTCTGTAGTCGACTTTTCTTCCTCGAAGTCCACTTTTTCTTCGACATGTTTGTGGTGTTTGATGAATGGCATCAATGTAACTGTTTCCCGATGTTTGTGATCCCAAGACTCTGTGCGCGTAAACTCTTCATCTTCTATCTTAGAATCCTCCTGGTCAGAATGCATGAGCACTTTAACTTTGACAGCGGCCGCGCAATGCAGCAATAGTACGCAAAGTGCGACATGACCGTAGCCAACCATTTTACGTGTGCGTCTAAGCCTCGCCCGCTTCGACTTGCGTATTTTTGCTTAGCGAAGGAAGTTGTTTTAAGCGTTGCGATCGATAAGGATTATTTGCAAATATAGCGCTATTGCGTCCATTTAGAATGGAAAAAAATCTTTTTATTTTACGAGCATGAATGAATCATAACGAAAAAAATAAAAAATCGAGTTTCGATTATTGCTTTTATTTGGGTACAAAGATGTAGAATATAAAAAAAAATACTGCATTTGGTATCAACCTTTTCTTCATAAAACTTTGATTATGAAAATTAAGCATTTTGACAAATACTTGTTTTACATCTAAAAAATAAAATTAAAGCATAAGTTGTATTTCTAGTCTAACTATTATTATTTCTTTATCTATATAGAAATTGTATAATCGTATAGTACAAATAAAAAAGCGAGTGAAGTTTGGACCATTATTAGGAATTTAAGTGTTCCATAGTGCTCAATATTTTACATCAGCCGTAAGGATTCATATTTACAAGTTACATTATAAATTTGGTTCTAACGTGATATCGTCCATAGCGTTAGGGGTAAGAATAGCATCACTAAGGCAAAGAGGGTGTTTTATTGTACATCGTTATTATTATTAGAGCCTAAGATACGTCGCTATCGGTAAATATACCATACAGCAGCTGAGGGAACAATCAGCCACTCACCTACTCTTACTCTTGTCTAAACTAAACTATCGTCTAGCCAGTAGTTAACAGAGAAAATAAGGCCAAAGTTAAAATAATCGCATTATTAATTATTGTATACAAAGCGTAACAGACAGGTCCGACCATATTTCATGTATTATTAGTAGTAATTTTTGTCTTCAACATAAAGTCTACACAGTCAACTTGATAGGCCTGTTGTTTTTACATATTTTTCTATTTGCTTCGGCTTCTGTTTACGAATTTCAAAAAGCTTTTTGCTACAGTTGTCGACATCGATTTTTATGAATACAATTTCCAGCTAAAAACAGTTGAACCTTTTTGTTGCGCCCTGTATAATGGCCCTACTTACTTAAAAAATAGTTAGATCTCTATGTGTTCCATTAGCCTAGTAAAGATTGGTTCCGTCAGTGTACGATATAATCATAGTGAATAAAACTTTCTACATTGCAAATAAAGCCTCGCTTACATCTAATCAAGTGCTTAATTTATTAAGCTTTTCAAGTTAAGCCGTTTGTTTCGGTCCATAACAGAGAACATAAGAACTAGAGATACACGAAAGTTACCTTTCGAACACCTATTCTACTTCCCTTCGCAGTTCAGACATTGTTACATGGGAATTTCTTATAATAAATACATTTTAATTTGATCGCGTTGTTGTAAGTTACATTAGTAACTTATTATATATGTATAAAAAATAAGGATTTTTACATAATTTTTGTAAAATTCCGTCCATATTTATGGGTTTTTATAGGCAACTGTTATAACCGCGCTAACCTAACGTGTTGCTAGTCAAACCATCGACATAATATTTACATAACATATCAACAACTGTGTAACAATTTTTCGAAATAGTCCTTACACACGTTGAGATGCAATGTGGGGTTACGCCATGCTTAAATAACACTCGACGCCCGGTATACATAAGAAAAACATTATTATAACTAATAATGGAAAGTTAATTTATAATAAATGTATTTAGCCCGCAATTACGGAAATATAAGGAATAATTAAAGAATAACACCCGAATTGTATTAAGTCTGTTCTCTCGAATGAGAATTGTTTTCAGAATCTGAAAAGATCTAACCAGTCAGTGTGGGTTAAAGTAGGGTTCTGTGCAACTATCCACCTCGTACTGTACTAAACACGTACGTGGCAATATTGTCAACAAATGTGTTTGAACAAATGGAATTATCAAAAAGTGCAAACATGATTACAAAGTCTTCTAGTAGCAGTAGTGCTCCTTGTGAAAGAGTTCGTCCAGGGACTACCCTAGACGTACTAAGTTGGCTGTTCTATCTGCCACCTTACGAATTTCTGCCGCCAAGCAGTAAAGGCAGCATTACTGTGTTCCGGTTTTGAAGGGTAAGGTTGCTGGTGAACTTACTTTTTAGGCATATGGGATTTGTCAACTTGTCTCATGTTTTGAGTGGCACTGCAACTGTTACGGACAGGCGTGTAGTTTACGATCAGGCGCATGACTTGTTCGTCCCGTCACTTGAAGTCATAAAAAAAGTCGTTATATGGTATAACGGGCTGTTTTTCTCAATTAGACACCGCGGAGCCTAACAATAGTGTATGTATTGTATGAAATTCATGAATGTTCATATGACACCCTCTATTAACTACTAAACTAAAAACATAGATATTCTGCCGTACGAATAAGGGCTGTAGAATAGGTGTAAAACTTACGCCAAGTCTACAAAACAACGATATATATCACCGCCTCAATAAATCTGTACATAAAATAGATATTGTCATTCCTTTCACTGAATTAAATAACGGCTGTTTGAAGAATTTAAGCATAAAGTATACGTATACGTTGTTTTGTAGTCTTGAGCCAGTAAATTTGTTTGCGGCTAGAGATTCAAGCGTGTTTACTCACGGCGAAGTGAAAAATTGTACTACTTTATTGCTATCGTTGCTCGAGATTGTCAAATACATACCTATACATATAATATTAACTTTCTATCTGTAATATAACAAAAACATGCACACTTCGCATTAAGTATCCACCCTAGAATACAAAATGTTATAAATACATTATAATCATGTATATTGTCGTGACTACCGTCCCTAACTTTAACATAGCAAACTACGGAAAATAGACAACTTTTCAACTATTAAATATACTAAATACTCTTAATAAAATTCATTTAATCGATTCAGATGCGCTATCACTAACAATTCTTACTACTATTATCAAAGCAGAGGTCTATTTTTTATAATTTCTATTAGAATTTAGCATTTACTTAATGATTAGACATCTGTGAAACTCATCAAAGCTCTATATAGTAGTCTGCCAGTAAAAGGATTATTATTTTCAAAACGTTATAGAATTGTTTTTTGTACATAAATAAAAATTTTAACCAAATATTAGACGAAAAATAACTATTACAATTAAAAAATCAACCGCCCAAGAGTTTACCAGTTAAACGTGTGGCATATGAAAATAGAAGACTGTATATAATAGGTTGGTAACTCTAATCTGGAATGGGCTCTACATACGACCCTATAAAATTAAATTTTTCATACAGTTTTGTACGAAATATGTTTAATATTTTTTTATAGTACAGCTTTAAAATCACATTCATGCCCAAATAATTTGCTAGACGTGGTATTTTTTCTGACGTATCTACTGCGCAGCCCAATCGTTTCGCAAAAGACTTCTACACAGACCGAGACGACCTGCTTCTTTAGTTCAACACATGTTTGGCCCTACGAAAACTGCGTGAGATCGAATTGCGTTACTACAACATTTCAAACAACGTGCAATCAAAAATTGTCAAGATAATTTAAGTAGTTTGTAAACTCCATACAAAGACCACCGTCTATGGAAAAGGAAGAACGGATTACTTATGTCTATTAAACGTAGCTCACTCATGAAAGTTAAACAGCCGTAAAACTATTTAGTAATAAGTACTTTAATATTTTGCTTTCCGTAGCATGAATTATCAATACATTGAATAGCAATAAGTTTGACGAACCTTTATCACAGTTCATAACAAATTATTCTTCATTTTGAGCCTTTATATTTTACAGAGATGAGATTTGAGATCTTATATTTCACTGATTTCCATGATTCAAGATCACTTGATTAGTGCAGTGCCCTACTCTAATTTCGAGTCTAACAATCGCGAGCTGCTGAGAATTTTTTAGAAAAGTAGTGATAAATGATAAGAACATAGCGCTATGTCACATTATATTGCTTGTATATTGTTCGCGTTTTTAAAAAGCTACAGTTACGCTGTAAATAGTTTAAGATCTAACATATTATTTGTACTTGTAAATAGAATTAATATCAAACAGAAACGATTCACGCTACGGAAGACACGAAAAATTTTTTAGGCAATATTCCGAGCATATCGAGGCAATTGCGTGATCTGGCCCTGCCCTACACTAGCCAGGAGTGAAGCTGTGCTCAAGCCAGGACGTGAAAAGCGTCTACCATCAAACCACTATGTATTAAGTACAAAAACCCATGGGCTAGAACACGCAATGTTTCCATCTCATACATTGTTACTATAATTGACTGAATACAATCTAAATACACTCCGGCTCTAGATTCAAGAGACGCACGCATGCACAAATTTTTAAACTCATTCAATTAAAATTTAAAAAAATTGGCTCAAGCACTGTCGCCGACACTCGGATAAATAATCTGAAACTACAGTTTCCTAAAACAATTAGCTACATCGCATGAGCCATCCTAAAGTAATAAAAGTTAGAGCAACAATGAGTGAAATGATCACACCATCGATAACTCAGATTTAGCCCGGAAAACAAATTGGAGCAAACGTTGAGTACTAACTGGTACATACAAAAACCTCTTACAAACCGATGCAAAGAAGTTGTGCTTACAACTTCTTCGAATTCGGGTTTTACTTAAAATCCAGTCAGGACAGACACATACACTTAGGAAAACTGCAACTCGCTAGCACGATATGTGGAAATATAAAACTAAACAGTAGTATCACAGAGAAGAATAAGCTTTCAGTCAAGAACACTATAAATACATAAATCAATAAATAGAAAAATATAAATCGCACGCCCTAAATCTACGCATACTCAAATTAGTCTTAAAAAGGAATAATGCAACGTTACAATTTCAAGTAAAACCCAAATATGAACCACCGACTTTCCTTTAAGGTTCTGACAATGTAAGAAAAGTAGACCTTACTGAAAAATCGATGATTGCTTACAAACTTTACATTTCGCAATGCACTCTTCAATTACTTAATATACGTAAGTCTGTCGGCTGACCTACATAATGGTCGAAAGTTAATGGTATAAGTGCAAGACCTAAGTACAGAAGTACAATTAAGAGTCGCGCGTTAAAACCTTGTAACCAATTCCGCGCCACTATCCAGTTGGTCTCAACTGTTGCCCCACACGTGGGGTTATTCGGTCATGCCCTGGAGGTGGGGGCATGTGAAGTACCAAGATCACGAGGTGGCAACATTGATGCTCTTGCGCTGGAGGAAGAGGTGTATTTCCGCGAAGGCAGGCCGCTCGAGCTCGTCACGTCGCCAGCATTCGCACATCAGCTCATAGAGGTCTCGCGGGCATCCCGCCGACCTGTGGATGCACTCGAATACGCCGTCATCCGCTTGCAAATGGGAAAGGTTTTCTAGCACCTGTAATCATCAAATTAATTTTATAAAATAACAATATTTAACCGATATTCTATTCCCATTATCGCAAAACTTTGATTTACAAATGTGGGGACTGGAATCAGAAAATGTAAATGTTTGTACTTAGCGAAAAACACGCTTTGTCCCATCATTCGGTTGACAATGTTGTGTTGTGTGAAAAAAAAATCAAAGTAGGAAAAATTTATACGAAGTTACCTCGTTGTCGGTCATGTGATCGTAAGGGCGCCGGCGACATTGTGTAAAGAGCTCGTGAAGTGTGACAGCGAAGGCCCACACGTCGCTCTTAGTCGTGTACTTGCCGAGCAACACCGACTCCCACGCCGCCCACCGCAGCGGCAACGGGATTCGTCCATCCACTTTGTAATAGTCGCACGCGTAAGTCTCGTTGTCTGTTCCAAAGTCACTTATCTTCACTTGATAGTTTTTACCCACTAGACAGTTTCTGAAAAGTTAATAATAATATTATCTATAGGCCTGCTTCAAAAGTTAAACATAACATAGCCCGTATAATCTTAAACAACTAATTAAAAGAGTGGTGAAGCATACATACGTACATAATATGTATATTTATTTAATAATACAAACCTTGCAGCGAGATCCCTATGAACAAAGTTAAGCGACTCGAGATACTGCATGCCAGCTGCTATTTGTGTGGCAATGTGGAGTACTGTGGCCGTAGACTGTGGGGCTGCACTGCGCAAGAAAGCGCAAAGGTCTCCTAGTTCCAGGTATTCCAGTACTACTGCAAGAGGCGGCGTGCGACACGCTCCTAACACGCGTGCTAGGTGGGGCGACGACAGCGCTGCTAAGATACGAACATCGCGCTCGAACTCCTCCCTACAATAAACACAGATCCTATTAAAAACAAGTACAAAATACAGACTCTTATTCTAACATCGCATCGTCTTTTCAAAAAAAGTGAGATAAATAATAATAATTTATATTAGTCCAAACATATTTAGTGGACATTTTCAGATAAAATTAAGAATAGTCTTAAAAATGCTGAGCGTAGTGAGAACAATAAAAGGGTTTGTATGAACAGACTGGTACCTGTAAATGAAGCAAGAGAAATTTATCAGAAACGTGAAAGATGGCGGCCGATAGTCAGCCTACACCTATGGGAATACGAATATAGCGCCACTCTGTATACTCGTATGCATATACAATACAATGCAATATAATACATATATTATGAAAATCTAGATGACGATGGTGTCA